CCTAGCAGAAATGAATTGGATGAAATGGGCCTAATGTTGTATTGGACTGTGGATTGTTGGGTTTTTTTTAAAAAAAAATAATTTTTTATAACTAAATCAGTACCGGTTCCGGGTACCCGGATTGTCTGGATCCGGGACCGGGTACCCGGAACTGGAATTGGTTTAAACCGGGTACCCAGTGGGTACCGGGTCCGAAATTTTAGGACCCGGTCCCGGAACCGGTTACAACCGGGTCCGACATTTTGGACCCGGTCCCGGAACCGGTGGGACCAGTTCCGGGTCCGGACCCGGCGGATCCTAACCGGTTCCGGGTCCGGTACCGGGTACCCTGGGTCTTTGCTCACCCCTATCTCCAATATACAAGTAGAGTCAATTTTTGCAAAAAATAAAAATAAATTAGAAAAAACATGGAAAATGCTAAAGTAGGGTTTGATTTCCCCTCAAAAAACAAAAGTTGGGTTTGATTTACCCTCATCAATAAAGAGGTACGGATACTTCATTTCGATAGTTAGAGTATGATTTTTCATAATTAAGCTAACATGCATAACTTTAATTTAGCTAAATTGGAAAATACTTGTACCTGAACATTATTTGCGATTTAGATTTCCAGACTTTTAAGTAGTTTGATCAGCCCAATGGGCCCCTTTTATGTGAATACAGGCCCACGATAACTCTCTTGAAAGAAAAAATAAAAATAAAATTTCTAAACATGATTTATATAAGTATTAGTTTTCTTAAACATCCTATTTCCAAATTAGCAAATGTGAAATTGGTGGACAGTGGGGTCCTAAAGTTTCATGGCCCAACAATTTGAATAATTAGACATTTAGACTAACTAGATCAGTACGTACAATTTATTTATTTATTTTTATTGATGCAAAATCGTGCAATTTATAACAAATAAACTCTGTTTTTGTTCAACTGAGTTAAGACGCTAATAGTTATTTAAAATACTACTGCTATACGTGTAAGATATATAAATTTTCTAGAATAATACTAACAATTTTAGTGTGTATCTTTATTACTTTCATTTATCACTTTAATACTTTCACTTTCATTTCCTATTACTCCATTCTCATTCACTTTCTAATTCTAATTCTCATTAACATTCCCTTCCTCAATACCAATCATTAATTAACTTTCTCATTCTCCATCTCAATATTATGTTTTACTTCAACCCTATTTTTCAAAATCTTTGTCCATATGACCCTAAGCCAATTAGTGTTGTAATCTATAAATTTCACTTAGTTTTTACATTTTACAGTTTATCCATTTCATCACATTCTCATTGTTATCTTGGAGAAATTATGTAGGGAAAATACATGTTAAAACATCATGTTTTCTGTAAGCACATTTTTAAAATGACATCTAAATATCTAATGGCCAATATCCAACAAAAGAGCCAACATTTCGTTTAGTTCAGCTCTAATCAGTTCAGTTTAATTTAGTTCAGTTTCTAATTTCTTTTTCTCATAAACAATTCATTTCAATTCAGTTCAGCTCCAATCAGTTCAGTTTAACTCAGTTTAGTAAATCAGAACAAACCCTAATAATACTCTGTAGTTCATAGTTTAAATTTTTTAAATTATAAAAATACAAACTTTAATTATAGAAGTACAATCTTTTGTTTTCCTTGGAATAAAAAAAAGAGTAAACAAAAAATGAATTGTGAACTCTCTAATGGTTGCTAGTCCCAAGAAAGATATTGCAGTCAGGGGGTTAAAGTTTTAACGTCATATAAATTGGCAACCTTTTCGGAAAAAGAAGAATATGTCATAATCACGAATTCACGATGTTAATGCTAATATTGGTCCATTTTTTTCGTGGAAAAAGGAAAGTTTGAAGAAAAAATAATTACTCATACATTGTGTTTCTTTGTAAGCTAACAGACAAGTACTTTTTTTAAAATATTGTTCTGCCACTATTTTACATAATTTATTGATCAATTCATTCAATTGTGTTAATCTGTTTTCTCAACAATTAAAGTAATACACATTGATAATTACCGTACAAATTTAAATTTGACTTAAAGTAAAGTTTTTTCTTAGTAGTTAGTAGGTACTACTAACATTTATGTTGTTTTATCACTAATGAAGTGTTTCATTTTATATTTATCACATATGTTATACTTTATTTTATAATATTTGCATGATATTGACATTTTACACTATTAATTCCTACACTGATTTTAACCACATTTTAATACTGATACATGTAGATACATTTTAATTAATAAGGAATTAATTTCGATACATATTTTCATACTTTAATTTTGTAGTTCGTTATTAGTAAAGCATAATAAAAAAATACTAATAATGTCAAAGTAGAGTGCTTTGGTAAACATGTCTAGTTAAAACGAGGCAACAATTAAAAAAAGGATGAAGTTTCAAATAATTGTGGTTAAGATGTGTTAGATATTTGATACTCTTCCAATAACAATTATCGTTTTCTTGTTTATTACGTCGTGACTATATATCTTTTTGTAATAGTATACCTCCTCAATAGTGATACACCACCAGTTATTTTGATTGTTGTCTTTTCAACTCTTCCAATTGAAGTGTTAGACCGTTCTTATGCAAAAATGAACTTATCATTATAAACACATACTTCTAACAAAAAATAAATACATATTCTTTACCAATTTCTAACATATATATATCGAGAGTATAGTACCATGATATGTAATTTCCTTTATTGTCAAGAAATGATCGAATCTTGGAGTTGTGAGTTGTGACATGACAATCATAAAACATAAAAACAGTAAACGTGAGGAACGTGTGACCCTACTATAATTGTGACTTTGTGATTTGTGATTAAGCCAAAATCCATAAATTTACAAGTTATTCAAAAATCCGACAAAAGGTTAGATTCCCACAAAGCTTCTCAAGTTGAGGTTAAAAATAAAGGAAATATACATTTCACCAAATCCTAAAGTTTAGCATCTAGCAACATTTTATTTTATTTATTTTTATTTTTTTTAGTTGAAATAGGAACGAAGTTTACTAAATATAGACTTATTAGAGTGATTGAAAATGCTTAAGAATCGTGGTATGAGAGGATTAAGATATAGTAAAAGTGAATAGATTAAAAAAAAAATGTAACTAAGTAGAAAGCCGGTAGAATAAAAAAGTTTGGAGGTAGTATATGTTAGAGTGGGACTCTTGGATAGAAGTTAGATTTTTGGATTATCAACCGCATTACTGTTCTAGTTATAATTAGAATCAATAAGGCAATAACGCGCATGATTAACAACTAGTATATGTATAAAACTAAACAAACTTTAACTTTTTAACTTATTCGATTTCAAATACACAATAATGATTAATAATATCGTGTTATTCAAATTTTTCATAAATATCTTATCGTCATCACAACGATTCATAATGTAACGAACTTTACATATGTGATCAAATTCATGACCATGGGAGAGTAAGGATTGTTAATATGTTTGTTCCCATAATTAATATCATTGATTAATATCAAATCACCAAGAAAATTCTTCGTTGACAAGGAGATCTTACCAAAGCAAAAGAAAATTACACCAATAGTCGGCTTTTCCCACTAGCATGTACCAAAATAATTTCCACTTTTGGAAAGCAATAATTAGGCAAAATAAGGAAAGTCCACTTATCAAAATCTGCTAATTAGACCAAATCATTAGTTATTCAAGGCATAAAAGAAGTTTGTCTAGATTCATTAAGTTTTGTTGTCATTGTATGTTGGTTGAAACCACCCAAAACTATGATACAATACGGAAAATATGTTGGAACGTTCATCTTATTTTGGCTTTTGCTTTTATTGTACGCCTCTAGGAAATTTCATACTCGTACTTAGTTTTAAAAATATTTGTGTTATACTGAAATTTAGTAATGCTTAATTTCCGTAGTATGGTCATATTTGGAGATGTCAACAAATAATTTGAATTTACACTAGAATGATTTGCTTTTGAAATGAAGTTTACGAATGTCTTTGTGGGGTTGGATAACATGATTAAAATTAGAGATATTAACTAGAAATGAACATTAGTTACACTGATTGATACGTGATTTTGACATGCATTCCAAAATTAATACTTGTATCATTTTAGAAAATATTTTAAATTGTTATGCAACAGCATTGACGTCCTTGGCTGCTCCTTAGCTAGCAAGATATTCTCCTAACTTATTGCAATTCAAAATATTTTAAGTTAGGTTAAAAAAAATAATAAGTTTGTTTAAAAGCTAAATATGGCTGCAATTCAATTTACCAATCAAATAACTTCCACAGTTACCACATACATATAACTATGAATATTTCCCTCAAAAAAAAATATAACTATGAATTTCACTGAAAAACTACCCCCTCATTTTACGTACCAAAGAGTCTCACAATTCACATTGTATGGAGTAATAAAAATGAGAAAATGAAGTAATTCTTTGACTTAAAAAAAAATTACTCCTTAGTTAATTATCCCTTACACTTCTAGTCTTAATTTTCCGGCTTTTGTAGTCTGACTTCTATTTTTCTATACCCTAAGGATTTGTATCAAATAGAGCAAATTCAGCTTCTATAAATTCTTAATCGCCGAAATCTAAAACTATGCCAATCTTCAATCAACAATTTGCAAAATAGCTTCTTGCGCGTTTGTAGTATGAAGAACAAATTCAATCGCTTAAACTTTCATGTCAATAGATTGAACAAGCGATCTTGTACTTCGCAGATTAACTGCACTCTCAAAAACATTCATCTATCTTTATTAGCAGCGTAATTGCATGATGCAAAGTGATTAGTAATATCACTAAACAACTCTAATGACATACTAAAGATCAGCACTAACAATTCGGTACAGAGATAGCTCCAAAGATTTGAGTATTGATATACTTTTAACCATTTAATCTTCAAAGCGATACACAATCACAACGATAGTCGACAACTAGTGTAAGAGATACTCAGAAGAGAGGAGGTTATTGAACCACAATCAACCAAAACACATTCTTTGATCTATTTCCCTGGGGACGTCATTAAATTAAGAAACCCACATTATTAGCATTAATTTAGTAGGTTATTGAATCATAGCTAATTAGCGATTGTACACGGTACAAATATTTGCTATAAGCTAGCACAAACAACTGAATCAAAAATGTAAAGCTTTTGTATATTAAGGTCATCTAAATTATACAACATAAACCATCAATTGTTGAAAGTCTCATTTCGGGCTGCATTACACCGCCAGCACAGGATAAATACAAGGAAATTTTGCTTCTCAAAACTGCATATGCAGGACACGAAAATTTATCGTCTCCAATTTCCTTTTATTTTCAAAAAATACCACTTGCCTGTAAAAGCTTCTATAAGTAAATCCAGGAAATGGAAGAGAAGGGAAGGATGGCCAAGGTCCTTAGTTGGACTTTTACTTTGCATGGAAAAGACCGCTTACTGCTTCATAGCTTGGAACATAAAGAACTGCAAAAGAGACCGAATCGAAAAAAAAAAATCATTATAATAAGTTTAAAAGACCAAGCAAGGATAGAAAAAGAAAAAAAAAAGACACAAAATTAATTTAGAGTAACTTACCATCTCCATGTGAAGCCATTGTAAGGGGAGACGATAAGACCTTTTGCGCGATTGAGGTAATGTCATTTTCAGTGATTTCATCAATAGCTTTCAAAAAGTGCTCTACTGGTTTCCTGGTAACATTATAACAAAGTTTATATCAGCTGGAAAGCCTAGCTAAACACAATCTTCCATACACAAATATGATAAATGATAGTAGCTTCTCGGCTAACATCCAGAATCTACTCTCACATAATATTTAAATAATCCTTCTGTCTGTCAAAATATTCCATAATCGCAATCATGAAGTTCGTTGTTTCATATTCATGAACTTAGTAAAGCATGTAGAAATGGCGAGTTGAGCCACATGCCTTCTACCAACACAACACCAAATTTGGCTACCTAACAGGCCACTACTTTCAGGAAACTACTAATCTAGTCCTGGGTAGGTCAACCACCCAGACTCGAAGCTGGGAAGAGAATTTTGAAATGGAGGGAGGCGGGGAAAGAAAATGCTTGAGAGAAAGTATCATCATGACAGCAGCAGCAACATTGATCCTTTGTCTGCTAGAATCTCACTGCCAATACAATGATACGATACCTAATTACCAATACACTTCCTCCCACTTTACAGGTTAGCAATGCTACAGAAAAACCCATGGTTGCAGTTGCATACATAGTAACAGTCACAAGGTCACAGAAGCATCATCTAGCAAGTATTGCCTCAAGTTTCACAGCATGAATAAACAAATAAGATATCTGTAATTTCATCACATTCAAGAGTATGGAATATTGTTTTAAAATTTATACTTGAAAATCCATCTTAGCACCTTAAACTTGTTTGTTGTGGCAAAAGAAGAGTTTTAAAATACATATAGTATTAATATATGAGATAATGGAGTTCTTATACGTAAATAAGAAAATATCTATAGTATGAAGAGTGAACATGTATATTGTTTAATGGGCTTTTAGTAACATATAACAACAGCAAATGTGGTAATAAAACTGTGTAGTGTCTCCATATCAATTTAGCACAATTTATAAAGGTGGAACAGCCCTTCCATCAGGCTCTAAGCCTCTAACTATTAAATCAACCCTTGCACAGATGAACTTGTACAAACCAAACCCTCTGTTACTACAATATGTAATGCATTGCAGCTGTTGCTAGCCAAACAAATACTGCATTGTAAAAGCTATTGCCATGATAAAAATCAATAGGCACTATGGAAAAGGAAAATATAACATGAAATCGGGGAACTCTAGGTCATTAGGACAGATATAAACAGAAGTAATAATATTATTAATATATATATATAGTGCAGACATTTTAAAAAATGTTACCTCTCTCCATAGGTCAAAATCTGTCTACCAATGTCTTCAGATGCAACCATCTGTACATACATACAGAAATTAAGACAAAGAGAAACTAAAAAAAGAAGAATATTTTTTAATTAAATAAAATAATATAATAAAGAAATAAACCAAAGAAGGCATACTCTAGATTCCAAATTCATTAGAATAGCAGACTTAGTTGCTGCTTTAGCACGACTGAGCTGTACCTGTGAGACTGAAGAAAAGAGCGAAAGGGGATTGAAAAATATTACAGTTCGCAACTTCAAAATACACAACAGAAATATTAACATGAATCAAAACAAACAACTAGCAAACCTTGTCCAAATATTGTAACCGCAAGGAGTTCTCTAGCAGCAATCTCGATTGCATTCGTTACAAAGTCAGAGCTCTAAAAAAAGATAGCTAAATTAAAAACCAGGATAAACAACAAAGCATGTAAAATGAAAAAACAAACATTTTACAGCTACCCGCTTCAACTTGTCTAACTAAATATTTCATGAGATGCAAGTGCCATAGTATATCCATAAAAAGTTAAAATCAGAAAATCATGATTTACTGTGGTATAACTTTTCTAGCACATCTAAAAAATAGAACACTTAATAAATTGCAACATCCATTGATGCTTACGAGCATAATCATTAATCATCCGATGTCAACACAAGTATAAAATTATGCATCCATTAAAATGCACATTAGCAGCAAGATGTTCAAGCATGACTAAACAGTAAACTCTATAGCCTGCTCAACTTCTCATTCACCCAAAGATTCTTTTACACACGAGTGCACATAGAGGTAGGTGCACCCAAGGTAATTTTTTTGCTCATTTAAAATTATAATCAGGGCAAAATGTGTCAAATGAGCAAAAACATACCCTTGGGTGTACCCAACTCTAGGTCCACCCACGCATAATTCACCATTCACCCAGGGCTTGAACCTTCTGAAAAGAGAAACAAAGGCAAAAAGGGATGAGCCAGGTATGGCAATCATAAATGGATATCTGAAAACCCGATCCACCCGATATAAATAAATGGATGAAAATCCGCGTTAAATGGATGAAGTGCGGGTGACGGATGAAACGGGTGACGAATCGTGTCGGATTCGGGTGGGCTCCGTTTCATCCGTCACTCGATCCATCATCCGTTTATCATCCGATCCGTCATCCACCCGATTAATATATATATTTTTTTAAACATAAAAAATCTAATAAATATAAAAGCCCAGCTATTTTTTAAACCCTAACCCAAATTCATTGACAACTTTGAACGCCTCCCGCAAACCCTCACTCTCTCACACTGAAACTCCATTGTGTCTGAAACATCTCTCCCTCACTGTCTCTCCCTTTAGTGCTCTGCCAACATCATTCCTCACATGTGCGAGTCTGCTCCTCACCTGCAGCATCCTCATTGGCAAGCAGCGACTCCTCTCACTGGCGGCACTTCTCACCTCCTCTCTAATTTCATTTGATTTAAGTTAATTTTCTGGTTTATTTCTCCAATTTATTCTTCTAGATTATCTGTAAGACTGTAATCATCTAATAAAACCCAACTTTGTTCAAATTTCTGTTTTGTTTTAAACTACTAGATTTATTTGCAAATCTGAATTAACTTGAATACATGTTATATTTGTATCAAGTAGAAAAATCTGAACATTATTTTTAACCCAATATATAGCTTGATTGGGATTTTTTGCCAATTGAGGTAACTGATTGTAACAGTAAGTTCAATGTTGAGTTTAGCGAATGCTTTGAGGACTTTTACTATTGAATCTTGATGAATTTATGTTAATTGGCCAGTACTTGGTTTTGCTGAAAATTTTGATTTAATTGTTAAATATATATAATTCTCACTTGTATATTAACATCATTAATTTAGATATATTAATAAAATAAGATATTATAATTATCACCCGATAAGCATCCGATCCACCGGTTTCACCCGCGGATGATGGATGGATCGGATGCGGGTGATGGATTTTGCGGGTGACGGGTGGATCGGGTGGAGTGAGCGGGTGGATGCGGGTGAAGCTCCATGCGGGTGGATGTGGATGGAGTGAGGGAGTGAGGGGGTGACGGGTGGAGCGGATGGAGTGAGGGAAAAGATGCAAGGAAAAAAAAATCATGTCATTTTGCTGAATGGGCAGCATACCAAGAATAGTTCATCAAAGACAGCTTCTAAGCCAATTTTATCAAGTAGCTTGTTCGGATCATCTGATGTGAAACAAAATAAAAAAGATGGGAAAGGGACAAAAGGTTTGAAAATTAATATCAGTTTCATGAGATCTGTTGGGCTATAATAAGGAACATTTCTCATCAGATCACATTCGTTCTTATTTGCAGAGAGGACTGCCATGAAACCTGTGTTGCTTTATGGTACTGAATGTCGGGCTTCTAAGGAGCACACTAAAAAGATGGAGGTTACGGAGATGCGCATGTTAAGGTGGATGTGCGGCAACACTCTAAGAGATGGAATAAAAAAAAGAGGTTATTCGCAAGAAAGTAGGCATGGCAAGCATTGCAGACAAACTAAGGGAAAATCGTCAACATTGGTTTGTGCATGTAAGGTGGAGACCCAAGGGTGCACTGATACGGAGAGTGGACAAGTTGGACCATAAAGGAGTTAAACGAGGGAGAGGGAGATAGGAAGGATATGAAGTATATGAATTTGCATGAGGATGAGGCATTGGATCAAAAGGGATGGAGGTGGAAGATTTCTGTCGATGACTACACGAATAATTACTTTTGGTTCGACCCCACTTATGGGATTAAGGCTTTGATTGATTGATTGGTCTGTAACCCATCTGCATTCCCTCTACCCAATAACACTCCACACCGTCACAAGAATCAGGCCCTTTTTCATAAGTCAATACTGATTAATAAAAAAAGCTCCACCTCTCTTCCTACATGTAGTCACCGGCAGGAATAACAACCAGTTAACCTCCACCAATTATTACCCTACTCAAAGTATTTCAAACCTCGAGGGTGGATTATACACAACACCCAAGCTGCAATCATACAACACCACCACCACCTCCACCACTAGATGCCCTAAGTCATCTCAGCAATATCTACGCCCAGCACACGGGATGCGTAAAGGCAGTGATATTTCCTTGTTCAAATGCCAACCCACCACAACCAACCACAAAGATTCACCACTTTTGCACAAGATCTGATCAAGGAAATAAACAAAGAGAAAAAGATAGATCTGGAAAACAGCAACGGCCACTTCTCAAGGTTCAAAGGTGGCAGGAAAGTAAATTTAAGAGGGTGGTATATTTGAGGGCAATTGGGGTACGACAAAAAAAGGTGAATGGATGTCAGGTAAACAAAGTCAACTTAACATCCAATACCAGAGAAAAGATTGGCAATTGGTCATGAAGACCGTACAGATTATACCACCGATGAGGTATTGTGCTAGGATGCAAGATGGCGTTGATAGGTGAAAGACAAGACAGAAAGAAAAATGGTATATTTCTAGCAAGAGCATGAAATGACATTGGAGTTATATTGTTGCATTAAATTGAAAGGGATGGGTGCCAAAGATTTTGAATCCCTCAAGAAAGGGAACCACAGAGTGTTGGGGTTGGAGGGATGTGTTTATATCATGAGCATCCACATACGAATACAATTAACCTAAAAGCAGGATCCATTCCCATTCCTGATTAAATATTTACAAGCCATATGCTCTGAGAGACATTGGGAAGATGTGCAAGTGAAAGACCTCCATCAAATAGTAAAATTAGAAAAAGCAACAGCTAGACCCAGTACTTTCCTAAAGAAAATAATATTGCTAAACCATATAGCCTTGGAGATCTAAAGAAAAACCTCACTAAATTGCAGCACTGCAAACTTGTACGAGAAGAGCAAATCCAGTCATAATTAACATGTAACTCACTAAAACATATGCAATCTTTATTTTTACTATATGTTCAACCATTGAGTCATAAGATATAAAACATTGGACTTAAGAACTAACGGTGCTCCTAATTTATGCTAAGTTAGAGAGAAAAACAAATAGCTAAAATGTTTAGATACATGAAGATTGAACTAAGCAGTGATTTCATCGAAAAATTAATGCTGAAATGCTGAATTGTGCAGAATGAAATGTTTACAGCGAAAGTCAAATAAAGGAAACAGAACATGACGTGTGATCATTAGAAGTCAAAGTTCTGCTTACAGTGGTACATTGAATTCCAAATATGCCAGTATTATTGTAGATGCTGTTAAAGGCAGAGAAAGACTGAATTTGTGGATACTCATTTAGGACATTCAGATCTGATCATAACAAAGAAAGCATATTAGAAAATAAATAATATTAGTTCAGATATACAGTCAAGCAAAACACAGTCAAGAAACTCAACATATTGCAAGCATGGACTAAAAATATGTGAATTTATAGAAAAGAATCTAATTAAATAAATACAACAATCGATTCGCAGGAAATAGATAAACAAGAAGAGTACTTAAAACCTATGAGGGGCCATAGCCTACACAGCAAGCCATACTTCTTCGTTAAATGGCAATCACTTGTACATTATTTTTTCAATGATACACTCCAAGGTCATACTTTTCCATTATTCTACAGATTCAGAACAAAATGAATTAATAGCTATTATCTTGCACGAAACACTCACATAATCGTGAATACATTCCTTTTCCAGGACCACCAGCTGAAAAGGATCCACCACCTCCCATAAGCATCTACATAAAACCACAAATACCTTTTGCTTTAGTTATGCACAAAGTGAATAAGAGCAGAAAACTTGATACAGCTTCGATAACTACCAAAAAAAAAAAAAAGGCTACCCCGGTGTCTCGAATTAGGCACTTGTTCATGACTGCACAGATCATGTATACACAGCCATTCTTCTATGAACTCTGGTGTAAAATTGAAATCATACATATGAGGAAGTAAAATCACTGAACCTATTGTTATACCTGAAGAACAGTCAGAATCATAGCATCTTTATCTTGCTGCCAGCCACCAGGAAGTTCAAATCCCAGTGCAAAATGTGTTATCTGACCATATAGTAAGTTAAACATTAAAATCGGTCATTGAGTATCGGATACAAATGAGAAAATTCAACAGGCTAATATTACAAACCCCCGATCCTGCTTGGCAACGGTAATCCCCTCCGATGTAAACAGATTTTGGCTCTTCGGGGCGTGGTACACGAGGTAGGTCTGACAAAAGAGGCTCTGCAATTGACAACAGATCTTCATGCTCAACCCCAGAAGCAGCAAGTACCATACGAGGAGCTGTGTAATTTTCCTGCATTGTCAAAGGGTAACCTTGATCAGAGGCAGATTTGATCAAGACAACAATAACATAGAAACAAAAGTCTATATGGCAAGCTTGACATGTAAAACTCATGGAAGTACAAAGCATAAAAATAGCATATTATACTTACAGCAACAAATCTCTCCAGAACAGAGCTATCTAATCTGGCCATTGTTGATTCTTGGGCCATAAGAGAATGTGCAAGTGCACCAGAATAACCAGCAGAATGGATTGCCTCAACAAGCAATGCCTGGGGGTTGTTGGAAGCTTCATTTACCTCAACCTTCAACTTCTTAAGCTGCAAAAGTAGCATTCAACATATATGCTCTTAATCAACAATGCCGCAAAATTGGTAGAGATTAGAGTCGTGCGATCAAGAAATTACCGTCTCATTGACCTCCCAATCCAAGAAAGCAGGGTTCCTAACACAATCTACAAGAAGTTCGACCATTTCAGGAACATAAGTCTTCAAAGCATCAAATGTGTAACCCATCTGCTCTCGAGAAGCGGAGGAGTTCACATTGCCTCCTATGGCCTCTACTTCACGCACAATACGCAGGTGGCTACGATTTGTGGTGGTTTTGAATGCCATGCGCTCTAAAAGGTGTGTTGTGCCAAATGAAAATGGTGTCTCGTAAATTGAACCAGAGTCAACGTACAAACCAATTGAGGCAGTAGGGTTCTGCATAAGAAGTTCCAAAAATAAAAATTCATCATTTAAAAACTAAACGCAAACCAAACACCTATTTCAGGTATTTTACGGCAAAGAAAATCCAGACTTACAGAAGAAGCCTCAGAGGCAATTTTGAGTCCATTAGGAAGAGTAGTTATCTTGGTTTTGGCTGGTTCCACGTAATCAGGCAGTGGTGGAGGCACTGTTACTCCCTCCAATGGGAAGTCTAGTGGAGGAAGGGATTTGCTGCTTCCCAAAATCCAGTTTAACAATCCCCCAGAAGCATTTGTTTGGGCAGTTACAGCACTGGAACTGGCATATCTTGTCAAATACCTGCTGCCTTCGCGACCCTAAATCAATAATTTGACATCATACAATCAGCTTTTATGATATTATACACAATCTATTAGTACACATCTACTAAACCTTCTGTATTGCGAAAAGAGATCCAAGACATGAATGCATCAAGCTACTGTATTGTAGGAAGATATCCAAGACCATGTGTACTGTGTAAAGATCACGACTTTAACAAAAGAGCACAGTGAAACAAGGATGACAAAGGAAATTACTCTTGTATAAGTAATTGGTTATACTATTATTTGAATTGTCATATAAAAAACCAAGGCACATTGATACGGCAATATTGCTCATTTTGTTTGGAAATCAAGAAAATTCATTATTGTTCTTAGACTAACAAAGTGATTACTTGTAAAGTTGTAAACCAAACAACTAAAAGGCAAAACCTTTCTTCCAAAAATCGTAAAGAAAATTCTATTACAGTCTAGAAGAGTAGCATATTCAAATTAATATGACAAGATCAAAAATTGAATGATGGTAATCACAATTAAAGTTTAAACATTTCCAACAAACATTGCATTAACAACTCTTAACACAAATATAGCATTGCATATCAACCCTAAATGCACATTCTATCAACAATAAATCGAACCCCAACCGTGGCGGCATATCGAAAACATAGATCAAATTCATATTTTTCTACCAAAATCAAATTGACACCAATGATACAAAATCAAACGGAAAACGATTCAAAAGATGAAATAATATTTCAACAGATCTACACATGAACATCAAAATAACCTGCGATAATCGATATTTCGTCAAATTGAAATCAATTTCAGAATAAATAATATCATCAAACAAAATCAAACAACCTAAACACTCAATCGAACTTGAATAACAACGAAAGTTAAGAACAAATTGATTCCAAAAATTAGGGTTTTTACAAAAATTGAAAAAAAATAATAATAATAATAAATGGAGAAAAAGATTTAACCTTATTTAGGGCATTAAGACGAGAAGCTGCAGCTCTGTACATGATGAAATAATGAGGTGATTAAAGGTTCTTCAATGGAGGATTTCTCTCTCCTGTTTCTCTCTCTTCAATTTCAATGGGAATGTGGAAGAGTTGAGAGTTGAGACTGCTGTTACTTGTTTCAGGGGAGGAGAGAGAAAATTGGGGGAAATTATTTAATTTGGGCTTTGTTTAGTGTTTAAGACTTTTTGGCCCAGTTGATTTGCGAGCCAGGTCTTTAAGACCAATTGAACAGATAGCGAACTTGTGAAATACGAAGTATAATCTCAATTTAGGAATGATGTGCTGAGAAACTTATCGATTAAGGGCATGTTCACATTTTACTGAATTGAGTTGAACTGAATTTAAATGAACTTATTGGAGATTTGGAGTTGAATTGAACTGAACTGAACTAAACTAAATAGAGCTAAAATGAATACTTTATAAGAGAAGAAAATTAGGAGCTGAACTGAAATAAACTGACTGGAGCTGAAGTGAACATGCCCTGAATATATAAACTTGAAATAAATGGAAAAAAAAAGTGAAATGCACACGCCCTTATTACTTTATTTAATCCAAGACTTTGGAAGAAATCATTGTGTAATTTATTTAAACTATAAAATTGTTAAAGCCATAGGGACCTTAATTATTTAACATGTACTTTATATTACTTAGGGGGTGTTTGACAAAATTGTCAAAAAAATATGTTTAGTAATTAGCTTTTTTGTTGGCTTTTAAGCTGACTTTTTCACCAAAAGTCAAAGACTAATAGAAGTAGTTTTTTCTATTGGTTTTTGGCTTGTTAATGGCAAGCTAATTGTTAAATTAGCTTGTCATGCCACATAAGCTTTCAAGCTAATTATGTTTGTAGCTAGTTTGATCCCCAATGGCTAGCTATTAGCTTACTATTTAAATTATCAATTTATTATATTTATCTTAATTACTAATTGATTTTTAACATTTTCTTTTTGGCAAGTTTTTTTCAAGCAAAATAGCTTTGCAAAGCTAATTTGCTTGACTAAGCTAATTACATATTTTTGCTCCAATGGTCAAGCTAGTAGTTAGGGACAATTTAAAATTGCAAGCAAGTCCCTAACTACAACAATTGGAGTTGCTCTTAGCCCACTTTATCACTAATAAACAGCTAACAACCATAAATAGTTTTACTAAACATTTTTGTAAACACAGATTTCGTGTGTTAAACAAATATTACAAAATGGTTGGTTGTAAAATTATCAATATTAGATTACTAGAATAGCCCTATATCATGGTTGACATCCATCAATAACTTAATACAAAAAGCGAAACCAGTGATGACACATGTCATTCACTGGTTAAAAATTTTCTCTCTATTTTTTCTTTCCTTTTTTTTGTGTTTTTTATTTTATTTTGTCAATTCTTCATGAAAATTATTTATAGCCTATAATATTCACCTAATGATTTATTCTTATATGTCTATATTTTTTATATTAAGTAATTTTTGTAATTTTCTCCAATATTTCTACAATATTCTCATGCTAATATATCTATAATAATCTCATTCTAATATTATAATTTGGGAAAGCTTTACTTCTATATTAATCGCATGCTAATATTTTTTTATAAGAGTATTTGATGTTTCATTATTTTCCTCACCTTACTTATATATCATAATAAAAACCTATGACTCACTCATTTTTAAGAATTTGATTTTTACATATAGAAAACTAAAGTTAAAGTTAACTAAACTAGTGTAAACCAATATGTATGTCAAACTGCGTCAACAAAATAAGGACATGATGGGGTATATATATAGCATGGGTTCTAAATAATCAATAGACCCTATTTTTTTTTTCATATTTATAAAGTCTAGCACATCAATAGCCTTAGAAATTTACATGCATAATTGTCAAAAAAATGTCAATATAGCTACTGTTTTTTACGTTTATAAATGTAATTCTTTATTTATATATAATTGTTAAGTTAATGTTATAGTTTGTTAAATAATTTTATTAAAATCCGTGCATTGCACGGGACTTTAACTAGTATGAAAATAAAGAACAACAATGTATAATAATATTTATTTTTTTTGTTATATATTATGGAATTTAGTAAAAGTAGAAACTAAAATAAGAACATTCTATATAAAATTCAAGTTTGTAGAAATGCTCAAATAGTTTTAATAATGCATTTCAACAATATTCTTTGTAAATGACATCTATATCTAGTACTTCATATATAATAACACAAATCACAAGTGTTTTATCTTCTAGAAATGCTATGAATTATAAATTTATTATACTACCTCCGTTAATTATCATATACAATTTTAGGGTATTATTTGTGAGATTTTAAAATTTTCAAAGTTGTACTTACAGAGTAATAATAACAAAGGTAGTAATTTTAATTATGACCTAGACCTCATTTTCTTAAACACAGATTCAGAAGAAAAAAAAAAAAAAAAAAAAAAAAAAAGTGCATGCTCTATGAAGGATATACCAAAATTATATTTATTTGTCGTTTATAAAGTAAAAGTAATTTTGGTCTCCTAAATTTATATGTCAAAGCATTGTCTTCTCAAACAACATATATAAGTGTTCTCATCTAAATTGAGAGATTTAAGATAGAGAGAGAGAGTTAAACACACTTAATTGCCTTTTAAAATACTCGTTCTCTTAATTTTATATGCTCCCACAACTTCATCGTCCTTGAATATTTTGATAATCTAGAACATATTTAGAAAAATGAATTTAAAATGACTTGTAAACAAGATTACACGAGCACATGACATGATCACCGTATGTTTCATTTTAGTCATGAAATTATAACTTCAACTTTGTTAATTTCACGTATTTGCTACATTTTATCACCTTGAAAGAAGGATCACGTGAGGTTAAAGCTTCAACGGGCATGACCGTACCACCGCATGAGACTTTGGACTCTTGAAATTTCCATAAAATTCCTTTTTTTCAACAAAGTGATTTTGATAGTTTAATGACTTTAATAATTTTGTTTACTTCTAACCCTACAATTAATGAGTCTACTACTCCTTACTGTTCAATCAGCATATTCCTTGTTTTCTAAAAAAAAAAAAAAAAAAATCAGCATATTCCTTTTTATTAAAAAAAAAAAAAAAAGTTCGGAACCTATGTAGCTCGAGCTAGAGCTAAATACGCGTTAAGATTAATGTAAGTGTGCTATGTTACATTATTACATTTCTCTTTCTCCTTTCTTTTCCTTCTCACATGAGCTGATTTCATGTTAATTTCATGCAACAAAACTAAATTTTGGGTGGTTTTTGGTTCAAAGTCCATTTATTTTGCTTGCCACTCTTTTTGTTTTTCCATGTTCACTATTACATATCGTGAGTCAAAAAAAAAAAAAAAAAAGGAAAAAAAAGGTGTTGGCCTGCACGTGATGTTGAGATGACGGTATGAAGCATGACGGCTTCTGAGTGTACGGCCAGGATGGGCCAGCGGTGACACTTGGTATACATCAAATCACATAAACTACACAATAATGTTGTATTATACTCCAACATTATTACAAGTAATCTATTATTTGCTCTATTAAATGATCAATCATGCAATAATTGCTATTAATTAATTAAAGTTAAATAAACAAGTAAAATTTTGTTCACTTGATAAAGCTCTGGCATAAGTCATATTTTATTTATAAAGCTTAAAGGTTTGAGGTTTAAAACATAACTAGTTATTAGCCCGGCCGAGCTAGAGATGTCTCAAATCGTTATAAATTTGCAAGTTTGAACAAAATTAGTTTAGAAGGGTTAATATTTTAAAATATTAATATGCAAACGGAAATATAATTAGAGGTTATACATGTGAAGAGTTTTTCAAGCAAATTACACTATTATAGTGAATTAAAAGTTAAGAAAGTAAATGTCATGAGAGAAGGTTGATGACAGATAAAATGACACGTAGCGCACATGTGATACTATACCAAATCATATTAAAAAAGGGTGATACATGGCGGCGTTACATGTTGCCCCTATGAGTCTTAATAATAATATACGTAGTAGATAAACGGAACTGTTTCAGAGGTGGAATTCACTTTATCTATCTCATCCCCATATTTTAAAGTGTCTAACTCATAAATATTAGCTTTTTTGTGTAAAAATTGTCAAGTATGGTTAGATTATAACAAAATTTCCTTATTTTTTAAAAAACTTAAAACAATACTTTCTCAATCCAATAACAATTAAACACTCATCACATTAATTATTAGATGTTTATAGGAGTTTAGTCAATGCAAACTTTAGCTTCTCTATTTGTCTCTAAACCCCTCTTTTGTGCCTTAAACCTTTCCTAACTAAACATCCCTTATTAGTCTTTTGCCTTACCCTAATAAAACCAATTAATGTTAAATATCTCCATCAAACATATAATAAACTAAATAGTGGTCCAAATCTGCTAGTAATGATCTTAATTTCTGTATTTTACAAATAAAAAGGTGGACCCTTATTCCCTAAACTCGAACTTTCTACAATTGATATTAGCAAGGTGGCTGGAAAGCATTCAATAATATGGGTATATGGCGGCTATTCTAGCTATGTGCTTCGCATGTTTATTGGAACAACTAACGTTTATTAAAAATTTGTAGCCAATCACCATATACTTCATCTTGAAACTATCATACTTTCCAAACTTGGTGTAGGTACACTACAAGATATTATATCAAAGAGGGCAATTTAAATCGCCCTTTTAGGTTCAAATTTCGCCCTATTAGGCAAAGAGGGCGATTTTAAAATCGCCCCCAAGTCGCCCTATTAGCTTCGTCCTATAAGCTTCAAAGGGCATACAAATTTTTCGCCCTCTTTGTTAAATATCAAAGAAGGCAAAAAATTTCGCCCTCTTTGATCAAAATCAAATAGGGCAAAAATTTCGCCCTCTTTGATCAAAATTAAATAGGGCAAAAATTTCGCCCTCTTTGATTGAATCAAGCAAGACGAAATGTTTCTTTGCCCTCTGAAAACAACTCAAACAAGTCAATTGATATTGCCCTCCTTGCTCAAATTTCGCCCTGTTTGATCAAATTTTAAAGGGAAAAACCAAAGTCTCCCTCTTTGTTCAATTTTTAGTTTTTTAAAAAAATAATTCTAGGAGTATTAACAAAAGTATTTAATTGCCTCAAAAAAAAAACGAAAGTATTTAATAATTCTAGGACATTTAGTTAATATAAATTCTAATTTTGTCATTATATATTCTAATTTTGTCATTATATATACAAAAGTATTAACCAAGTTTTCCAAAAAGCAATTATTTAATAATTCTAGGACATCTTTTCATCCTTGCATCTTCAAGCATCCCCTTTTTCCATCCAAGAAATGCAACCAGCCTTTGGTGTCCTCCATCCCCAAAACATCAGGACACTGACTTGATCCCCTAACTGCAAACATGACAGAAACAAGCTGAATGTAAATTAATATAAGAACATATTAGTAGCAATGTAGGAACTTGATGATGAATAATGACTATGATTACTATAAGAGGCAACTACTCGAAGCTAAAAAAAATCAGACCACACTTGATATGATACAAAAACACCCAAATATCAAAGTAGAAAAAGATACTTTGTATAAAATATTACCTTTATCAAGCATCAAGGCCAATCTTCTCCATGATTAACCGAAGCTTTTGTTCTAGGTCTTCTTGTTTCTTCTTAGACGCTTCCAATTCAGCTCGCATAATATTATTTTCATTTTGTAGTTTCCAGCTCAGCTCTTCCTATCTTTCCATCTTTAGATGACACCGGGTGCCCTTTGCCTAAACCTCGGGCATAACCTGAACGATGTCCAAGAACCTTCACATAAGCTTCTTCAAGAGTAAGATTATCAACCCCCTTTTCACCAATTTTCTTCTCATGCAACTCCTTTAATTCCTTGAACTTCTCCTCGGCCTCATCGTCAAACTTCCCATTTTTATGCCTTACAAGATAAAACAAAGTCAGAATTTTAGTATAAAGAAAAATGAAGTGTTCGTGCATTAGACAAATATTCAATATACCTCTTTGACTTCTCCCATAACTTTAAATACATGGGATCATCTTTAACTTGGGATGAGGTGACGTTTGAACTAGAACCATTAATTTCGGTGACCTCATTCTCATTTTCACAAGCTTGCGCCTCAAGTTCCTATCAAATCATATACATACACTTATTAATTTCTGTTTTCTGATACAATCTGAAACTGCTTAATTCTACAACATCAAACTACCTAGATTTACTTTGACTATTTTCATAATTTATTTAGGAGTGTCATGCATAAGAGCAACAACTTATACTCACCAATTCATAAATTAGTCTAGCTGTAATGCCCGATTACAAGAGCATTTGCCCAATTCTTCTCGCTCCTTTCCTACAGATTACAAAACAACATATAGGATTAGTAAAGGGGAAGAAAACAATCTTCTTTGCAGAATTCTGATTTTTGCTATTGACAAACGAGGGCGAAAATGGAATTCGCCCTGTTTGTTTGAAATACAAAGACGAAAGTAACATTCGCCCTGTTTGTTTCTTTTTTGTTTTGTAAAATAGCCAAAACGTTTACTTTGTTGATTTATTTTATTGAACAACGAGGGCGAAAATGAAATTCGCCCTCTTTGCTCTATTATAGAGGACGATTTTGTGAATTCGCCCTCTTAACTCTATTATAGAGGACGAAAAATTAATTCGCCCTGTTTGCTTTGAAATACAAAGACGAAAGTAACATTCGCCCTCTTTGCTCTGTAATAAAAGGGCAATTATTATTTCGCCCTCCTTGATAGAAACTAACAAGGCAAAATTAAACTCGCCCTCCTTGATCAATGTATATCGCCCTCTTTGACCTTTTTTCTTGTAGTGGTAGTTGGTAGTATGATTAGTATACAATCGATCTACTCCATTCCCAATGGTTTGAATATAATCATGCTCACTCATCTACGTATAAAGAACAAAACACGATCAAAAGAGAGTGTGTAAATTGTGCTAAAGTCAAAACACGTTAACTAAAAAAAAAAACAAGGTAGTATATAGCTAACTTAATTTTGTGCAAATATATATATATATATATATATATATATATATATATATATATATATATATATATATATATATATATATATATATAGCAATTGATGTCAATAACAAATTAACAATTACGAATTAAGTAGTAAATATGAGTTAAATCAAACATATAAAATAACTTGAAATTAAATCTACACGTACACCATAATTGACATCCACTATGCATGGACTCCCTTAGAACAAGTTATAAGCTATGGTATTATTTTGACTTTGAAATTAAAAGGTCTAAATATATCAACCCCTTGGCACGTAAGTCAGCAGTCATAGGAAAGCATGGAAAATGGGGTCGTTAAACCCATCTTAGTTTTATTTAAATTCTTTTTAGTGATCATGATTGATGACATAATAAATTAATAAAAATTATAATTAATTATTAAAAATAAATTAAAGATTGAGATTAATAGGGAAACAATCAATTAAACATCAACCATGCAAACAGCAAACCTAACTAATTAACGACTAATCGTTAACTAGATCGATGATCAAGCTTCTGTCACGGAATAAATGATTAAATTGATTGTGTAGTCCATATTGTCATATATATTGTGTGCACTATCTATATTATACGGAGTACTTCTTAAGTCATATCTAATCTAGATCTATGTTCCGTTTATTAATTTCATTTCCTTCTTAATACCAAACGCGTATATTAATGTATTTAATTGTTTAGAACATGATATTAATTTAATTCATAGGGATTTTTTTTTCGTTTCAATTTCTAACAAAGTCTCTGATATTGCTACATGCTGCTTAACATGCTACCCTAGAGGTCAAATTTAGAAAATTGCAGGCATGATGCTTACAGAGTTGCAAGTGATTGATGATGTGACTGAGTAATTGTTTGGACTTTAAAATAAGATTATTATATGTATTGTACCCCTAAGAGTTTTAATTTAGAGTGATTATTGGACTTGTTTGACATTTTCTATGTGAAAATAAAACTTTATATTATTTGAAAAAAAAAAACATCTGCATGACTGCATATAAATTGAAGCTTGTTACTAAAAAAAAATATATACTTCGTATATGTCAACGTATACGTGATGATGTGGAAAACAATATACTCCAAGAGCTACTTATATTCTTATCAAATATTCTCTCTGTTTTTTATTTTTTTTTATTTTACTTGCGCATGTTATTTGCAATTGGAATTTTAATTTACATTATTCATACATACACCGGTTTAATAAATATAATTTGTGAATTATAGATGATGAAATACATAGTCATCATGAGGCTTGGTTAGATTATATTATGTATCATATATTTTCAAAATATCAACTTTTCAAAAAAAATAAAAATAAAAATAAAATAAAATAAATTACGGTTATAATTATGCATGCGTGCCTAGATAAATTAATGTGATTCTTCTAATTGCTTAAGTGAAAAAAAAAAAAACTACTCCAGAACAAAAGAAGTCAATTTGTTTGAATATAGGTTTTGTTTGTACAACTATTATGACATTTATGTATTCCAATATAAAAATGAAAATTCTACTACGTATTTTTCGGCAGTGTAAGCCAAGGGTGCAGCAATTTTTAAGCCACCACAAAATTGAAAATAGTAAAGGGTATACAACTACAATGCGCCTTCCCTTAACAAAATTAAGTTATGTCAGTTGTACGTTATTGAGTGTAGAGAAAAATAGAGTAGTTAAAATCTATGTTAATTGCTTAAAATGAGTAAATATGTTTATGTATCTCAATTATTTGATTTACTCGTTTATCATTCAAATTTTACTTGTAATACATACACACAAGTTATAGTCTCTAGGCCAATCAAGTAGTTTGACCTAACATATGGCAATACTAAATTAACCTTTAGCTTAATTTCTTCAACACTCTGAGTATCTATTTGCGCTGCAACTATTTTTATATTGTAAGAATTTCTTTCTTTTAAATTTTTTTTTATTGAATTTTGTTTAACTAGGCTTGGTTAGTAGCAATGAAACATAATAAATAGTTTTTACCAAAATTAGCAAATGTGCAAGCCTTTTTCCTCAATTTATCAATAGTTTAGTTTAAGAATTTAAGGGTCAATAAATTTATTTTTAAGGAGACAATAAAATTGAGCAAAGATATTACTCCATGTTATTGATCATTATGACTTATGACATATAAATATAGTATTTGAAAAAAAAAAAAACAATATATTAGGGAGTATAATTTCTTGGGCAACAGGAAATACAAATTACAAAGCTGCAAGTAGAAGATCTAAATCCACCAATAAAATCATGCCACAAATTTAAAGGAATCCTCAATTACTATAGTAACTTTAGACTTCACCTCCAATTCTCCCTTAAAGTCGCATTACATATTGTGCCAAAAAAAAAAAGTCACATTACATAACCAATAAAACAGAAAAAGAAAAGTTTCTAGATTGAACATTCTAGAAATTTTAAAATTTCCATAATCCATACTATTCTTCCTTGATTGTTTTTATTTTCACCCTTTTTGTGCCCTCCTTCAAACTCTTATCTTCAAGGCAATTGTTATACTCATAAAATACCAGTATTTAATATTTAAAAACAAACCTACGACAACTGTTTAACCATTTTATTACTCATCTACTCGAACATGGATCCAAAATGGTCACCTATAACATAGATTATCACTCCTAAAAACAAGTGGTTGAAAAAGTAAAATCTAACCATATAATTTTATTTATTTATATTTTTTTATGTTTGTAAATTATAAATATGCGAATAATTAAAAAATTTCAATTATTAAAAAAAAAAAAAAAAAAAAAAAAAAAAAAGAGAGCAGGAATAAAAAAAATCAAGGAAATTTCGTAGCCAGTCACTGAACGTTTCTATGTGCACATTCTCTCTCCTTCCACCCTTTTATTTTAATCATAAAAAAGTCCTTTAAAAAGTCCGAACCAGAATCTAAAAACTAAAACAATTTATATTAAGATCAAAAACTTTGAGCTTTTTTCTAATACCATCAATTTTTACCCACCAAAAACAAATAAACCTGCCATTTTTATATAATCTTCTTAAGATCCATCATAATCATTCACTAATTTCTTGATTTGTAAATCACTAATACCCTCTTGATTATTATTATTGTTACTAAAAAGGGTAGCTAAAAGTTCATCAATGGAGCCAAAGATTATTAAGGGAGAAAGTGGTTATGTTCTTGATGATGTTCCTCATTTTTCTGATTATCTCGCTAATCTTCCGGTAAATTTCTTATTCTCTCCCTTTTAATTTTATTTTTGTTGATTTTTATGATTTTATTGTATGTTTGATGTTATGTATGTTTGATTTTTACTATGTATTATGATGATATAAGCTTAATTTTTTTGGTTTAAGATGTTTGTGATTCTGGGGTTTTTTATTTTTTTCCCAGAAATTTGGAGTATGCTTTGATTTTAATTGATTATGATTGGTTTGATTGTTTTTCAGACGTATCCGAACCCGTTACAAAACAATCCTTCATATTCAGTAACCAAGTAAGGCAACATTTTCTAATTTTTTTTATTTGTTGTTATTTTTGTTTTTGGTATAGAGAAGATTCCGATTAGGTAATAATGTAGACGAGATTTGATCCCGAGTTTTTAATGACACCCGGAACATTTTTTTCTGACAAAGCTCGTTGACAGCCATGACACCCACTTGTTTTCTGTTATAATAATTGATGATCATGGTTTAGAAAATAGAAATGGATTGAATTAGCATGGGTGTATATTTTTGACTTGACACTTTTTCTTTATGATTTTAATTGAACTTTGGTTTTTCTACTCTCCTATTTCAGGCAATATTTTGTGGATTTTGATGATACGGTTGTTCAAAAGGTTAGTCTTTTCTCAGCCTATGACTTTCTGTAAAAGGTTGTTAGTTTTGATGCTCCAGACTCTTCATAACTGCCAGTTTTCTGGAAGTATATGCGTTCATTTTGTACTGTAAGGCTGGCAGTTAGTGTAGGAGCGGCCATGTTTGTCTTTGGTACTCGTGTTGATTTTGGGTTGTTTACGAACTCCTTCCGTTCCTTATTGTTTGTCTCATTTAGCCGTCCCTAAAAGAATGCCCCATTTCTGCTTTTGATCATGAAGATCGCAACTTTACTCATATAGTCATATGCAACAAATTTTGCCCCACCATTTTTGTCTATGATCAAATCCACTTAACCAATGATTAACTAAGTTAATAATTGCTTGGGAAGGAAACAATTTTGGGATAGAGGGCATAATACTGTATAAACATAGGATGCACAAAATTGGGTGTGACTTGGGTTGGGTTGTCTACTTTAAATGGCAAATGAAAGAGTTGGTGTAGCAAAGGGTCTTGATTACTTAAACTTGTAGTCCATATT